CCCCCCCCCCCCCCCCCCCCCCCCCCCCCCCCCCCCCCCCTCTCTCTCTCTCTCTCTCTCTCTCTCTCTCTCTCTCTCTCTCTCTCTCCTACTGTGTTTTATTGGGGGTGGGCTCCAAGGAGCTTTCACTTATAGCATGCTTGAAAGGAGAGGCGTTCACCGTGTTGTTCAGTTCCTACAGAGTGGCCGGAGGACGGCAGCTTTAGTCTTGGTGTGATACAAAGGCTTGTTTTCATAGGCTTGCTTTCCAGTGTGCCAGGGTTCACTGAAATGGGAACTTGCTGTTGTGTAAATTGTGGTATAAGAGAAATCCTGGAAATACTGCTTTCTGACTTATTCTCCAAATCTGCTCTGTCCTGCTGCACATGCCTATCCCAGCTGCTGATTCTCCTCCCAAGACTCTGTTCACCCCTTTTAGAAGCCTGGTTTCTCTGTGTATCTCTGGCTGTCCTGGAACTCACTCTGTAGACCAGGCTAACCTTGAACTCACAGAGATCCAGCTGCCTCTGCCGCCCTAAGTGCTGGGATTAAAGGCGTGCACCACCACTGCCTGGCTAATTATATTTTTAAATTAGTTTACAAAGGAGTGGGTTTTCAGAACGCTTTTCATACATCTTCCGTTCTGATTAGTTTTCCCTTTGTTCCCCGTCTCCCCTCTCTCATCCCCTCTAAAGCTCCCCCCCCCACACACAACCTACCACTTAATGTCTATCTCTCTGAAGTGACTCCGGCCAGCCTGTGATGGTGAACATGGCTCTGGCAGGCCTTGCCCTTCTCCCCCATTCTCTCTGCCTTGCTAAAAACAGAGTTCTTTCCTAATGCTAGCCCCCAAGGTCTTTTTCCAGCTCCTGAGGCTGAGCATCAAGGTCCAGCTATCAAAGCATTGAAGTGCAGCTACCAGAAGCCCCCTTTGGGCCACCCAATTAACACACCAAATTAAAATTAAATACCTTATCCTAACATGGGTTTCCCATTTTAGCCTTTATAAAACGCCATTCTCCTACAGACCATGTCTGTCTCCTGTCTATCCAGAGGCAGTCCTTTGTCTCCTTGCAACAAATACCCCTGCCCTCTTTTCCTTTATCCCTTCCCCCTTCTCCCTCACCCCCATCTCCGTTACCA